AAACCGGACGTGGACGCCAGCCGTCCTGAAATAACTTACAAAATGGGGCTTGAAGGGACAAATGATGTGTTTGTGTCCCTCAAGGCTCCGTTATCGCAGTCACGTTGTTTCTGGTGGCAATGAACGGGGTATTTGACCGGCTACCTGGGTGCATTAACATATTTGTTTACGCTGACGATGTGCTGATTGTGGCCACCGGTCCCACACAGATCCGAACCCTACGGCAGCTGTCCGCCAGGAAGAGCATCGTATTTCCGTTTCATCAGCCAGTCAATAGCACCCCAATTACGATCCAGGACCACGCCATTCCAACCAGAAAAACAGTTCGCGTCCTCGGCGTACTGATCCACCGAACGCTCTCCTTCGACCAGCATTTCCAACAGGTCAAAAAGGACTACCGCAGTAGACTCAACCTCGTTAAAACGATCTCTCGGCCTCACCGATCCAACAACCGCGATGTTCGGTTCCGGGTGGCGCGAGCCATCATCGACAGTAGGTTGCTTTACAGGACGGAAATTACTTGTATCGCCATCGCCTCCGAGAAGCTGGTTAGAACCCTAGCAGCGGTCTACAACAGCTACATCCGCATCATATCTGGTCTCCTGCCATCCACTCCAGCAGACGCCGCATGCAACGAAGCAGGTTTTCTTCCTTTCCGGTTCTGCTTAAACGCAAATATTGCCACAAAAGCCGCCGCCAAGACCTCCGAAAACAATAGGATCTTTCTTCTCGACGAGAGTCCTCCGCACGGCTGCCGACATCGACCTTCCCCCAGTGGCCAAAGTTCATTGGCATCGAGAGAAAAGTTGGCACTCTTAACGAATCCAATTGGACGATCGGATCAAGAACCGCTTCAAAGCAGGGGATGCATCCGTGATCTTCCGTGCCACTACGACGCCAGTCAACAAACCGATACTTATCTTAACCGACTTACACAGCGTCGTTCAAGCGATCACCTCGGAAGCACCAAAACACCCATGGAACCAGGCGATTATCAAGTACGCCCTACCGAACACCGTGTTCACATGGATTCCCGGACACTGTGGAGTGCCAGGTAACGAGTCCGCTGATCACCTTGCCGGAGCCGGGACATCGGGTCCCAGACTCACCGACAGAACGTCAGACGGTGGATCATGCGGACCATTCGAGCGGCATGGGAGGCCGAGTGGTTCCGCAACAGAGCTGCCTTCATCCGCAAAGTTAAAGGGTCAACTGAAGCATGGAGCGAACAGGACAACCTGAGGGATCAACGCGTGATTTCGCGGCTTCGGACACGGACCGGGCACACCAAATTCTACAATAACCTACCGTTCCCCAGAAGCTACATCATCTGCGGGACACCCTACACCGTTGAACACATCCTGTGCAACTGCCCGGAGTTCCAAAATCTTCAGGAGTCACTCTGCCTAACTTCCTCGGGAATGATACTCCGGCCTCGGCAGCACTAGTAACCTTCTTAAAAGAAGCCAAAATGTACCACTTGGTATAGCAGGAATTTTTTTTCGGCCGTCGGGACAACTCTGCTGGACATCTCAGCTATTGGACCCATGCCAGCTGAGCTCTGTTTTGTTTGCATTATTCGTTTGTAGCTTGTTTTAAATCATTTTGTTTTCCATCATTCCTCTGTTTCAGCCAGCAACCAAAGTTATTTACAAAATGTTAATTTACCATGTATTTAGAGGTTACTCACTCTGAGGCCTCTCCTTTCTCCGGAAATGAACTAGCCATAGGCTAAAAATCTCCTTAATAAAGAATTTAAAAAAAATCCGAAGACTGGCACTCGCGGCACAGCGCGGCCCACTTGAGGCACACTGAGAAAAATGTTGGTGCAAAATAACTGTGTAGAGTGACCACCCCTTGATATCCCCGGATTTTTTTTTTCCGAGTAGATAATTCTTTTTGGCTTCACAAGAAAATGTCTTCTGATTTTCCCGCTAGTTTTTCCACGAAACATCGAAAATACAGCTCAATCCAAACAAATCATCAGCAACATTATCATCATTAAAGCCCCAATTACAGCTGTTCTCGACCGAGCTGGAGCCTTCTCTCGAGAGTCGTAGCAAAGCTGGGACTACTAAAATGCCTCACTTCCATGAACCGTAAACCGTAAGCACTTGGCAACAATCACGGTCGGTCGTAAAAAAAAAACCGAAAAGGCCCGAAAATCGAATTAATTTCGATTCTTGCCCGTGGTTTCCAAGCCTCATCACACTCATCATCCGAATCCTCCCGGTATCCTTGCGTTGCCAAGCCATCCTCATCATCCGATGAGCGCTACCGACCTGGCAACGAAAGAATAGAGCCATAAAAATCCGGCCCAGGACCAAAGCAAATCACGCCAATCTAATTCGATTATTGTGGGAAAATTTAATCCAATTAGCCCACTCCCCCGCTTCCGGACTTCGCGGGAAAATGGGCCATAAAATTAGAGCACTTACACTGACCAACACGCGTGCCTCATCCTCATCAACCATTGGCATTGTCAAGAGGTCAAGTTCCTTTCTTCGAACGGGGCTGCATGGTTCGGCCCGGAATGCCAAAAGTTCCATGTGACACACGTTTGCTGCGTGGATGGAATCTTTTGTTTCGCTCGCCTTCAAAGAGCACCGTCCGGTCGGTGTTGTAATCCGAAACGGCACTTTCGGGGGCGGAAGGGGATCCGGGAGATTCACAACAAAAGTGCAATATTTCAATCACAAAGTTGTCATGGTGGAAAATTGCACAACACAGTGTATATCTTGACACTTTTCCCCGTATGGTCGGTTGGTCGATGTGCAAAGTGGACGGCCGAGACCCGCAGCAGAAGCTTCCCGAGTGTGACCTCCGTCCCCTGGCACCTAACGGGGATAAAGGGTGGTGGGGATAGGATAGAGTGCGGTCACGTTGTTGCGCTCATGATGATGAGGAGCCGCAACAAGACCCGCAGCAACAGCAGTAGAACGTGCCATCCGTGGGACTTGAGCAGTAACAAAGTGAATAATGCCGAGCTACCAAGTGCAGTCGTTCGTTGTTGGTTGGTGACGGACCATGAAAATTCGCCACGTTCTGTTCTGTCATCGTCGTAGTCGTCGGAGCATACAAGAGCAAACAAAAGAATCTGGCCCCGGTCTTGTCCGTGTGTCCGGATGCGTGCCGTTTGTTGATGGTTCACGGTTCGGTCACATCGTGGTGAGTTATCGCACAGGAATGTTCTGCTGAGGTTGCTCTGAGCAACTGATGGTTGACTGGTATGCACCTTCGGATTAGGGTTACTGGTATTTGGAATGGTGTGTGGCAAAAGATCTCAATGAGTAGAGATCTTTCCTGTCATTGAGAAAATCCATATTCCAAAAAGAGCCCTGTATGGAGATCGAAGCGAAGCGAAAATCTCATTCAAAATACTACACTGTTCATCTGCGTGAAAAACGCAATTCGTAAAAAACTTCTCTTCTCTTGGAACTGGTAACAGATACGATTCAGTGAAATTAAATTTTGTGGAGCCATTATTTTCGCTTACGTTTACTTTTTTTAACGCATGCAGCTGCTCGTAAAAAAAAAACAGCAGCTAAAGCGACTGAGCAGTTATATCATGTGATAACGGTTGTCAAGTAATTGCAACACAGAAACCACCATCAAGATACAGCTTATCTGTCAGAATTTCACTCCACCGGAGGTTAAAACTGATCGATTCCGTTTCACGTGAACTATGAACAGCGAAAAGAGGAAAACCACTTTTTCACTTCGTTCTACGAGTTTCAATTCTGTCCCAACACATTGAAATGCCATTTGACAGTGGTTTGTTTGCACTTCTAAAAAAAAAACAACTGGTGAAAGTTTGATCAAAGTAGTCGATCGCGTTCAGAAATAACGTCAAATGGAACTCGAAAGAAGAAAAAAATATTCTGCGCAAACACCTGGAAAATCCGGAGTGGTCCGGTTCCAAGCTGGCTACAGTGCTGAAGATGCCAAAATCAACAGTTTGTCGAGCGCTCAAAACCTACAAGGAAACCCTGGTTGTGGAAAGTGTAGGGGAGCTGGTTCTCCGGACTAGTGGTGGACTCGCGGCGGATAGTGTCCTTCGGGTGTGGTTTTCACCGTAACCAAAAAATGCAAATTGTGGATGATACGTGGTACACTGAACTACTGTACTCGGAACTTTATTTTCTGCGATAGAATTTTAGATGTACACTCGTCGGTAGCTTTATTGTACTGATTTTTATTCGATAATCTGATACGGGCTATCAGTGAAGAGAGGTTGTGTGTGCCCTATATGGTGTGTGAGAAATCCTACCTACGGGCAAAGCAGAGATGCTTTGTGGCATGCAAAATAAATTGAGTATGAGTGCCCTACTTCAACTGGCACAAATTCATTTAGGGTAAATTTTATAATTATTAGAAGTGCCTTAACATACCGCCCACAATTGAAATCTAAATTTCAATCCTGTCTTCTATTTGTGTGGGTTTGCTTTATGAGTTACTGGTATATAACAAATTCATATTCAATATTTTCAACAATCTGCATTCGTTGATTCCAGCTTCTCGATTAACGGTTGTCAGATGATCGGTTGAAACTCGATGAACCTTGATCAATGGGTGTAGGTACGCCGCGTGGAATTCATCCTCTCGATCGTCACGTTCACGGATAGTCGGGGTCCAGGGTTCCTGCTGATACGGTTGACTTTAGGTCGGAGAATACAAGGTCCAGCAAAGAAAAATTAGATACTTAACTTGTGAGGGGACCATGAGGTCCCCTCCCATCCGACATCGCTTGTGTTGCTGGAACCTCGAACGACTGCAACTATGTTGATTCTTGGTCAGCTGGCTGATTGTCAGGAATAGGCAGAACGCAAACGCGTGTGATTGCCCTCTTGTAAGTGCCGTCCTTGGTTCGGATGTTGACGACTCGGATGAGCCCATCGTTTCCAGGAAACACTTCAGTTACTCGGCCAAAACGCCACTTCTGCGGCGGTAGATTGTCTTCACGAACTAACACCATCGTTCCGATGCGAATGTTGTCGCGCTCACGTGTCCATCGGGTTCGATAAATATTCGGTTGACCATCGCTTCCAAAGACGACGGAGATATTCCTGGATCATCTGCCATTGTGAGAGTTGGTTGCTGGGTAGTTCTTCATAGGACGGCTCCGGGATTGCGGTCAGTGGTCTGTGCACCAAGAAGTGACCTGGCGTAAGGACGTTCAAGTCCTCGGGAGAATTACTAAGCTGTGTTAGAGGCCGGGAATTGAGAATCGCCTCGATTTGCGTAAGCAGCGTGTGGAATTGCTCAGTGGTGACCAAAGCGTTCGTAAGCGTGCGACGGAGGTGCGTCTTCAGGGATTTTACCGCTGCTTGCCAGATGCCTCCGAAGTGGGGTGATCTCGGAGGGATGAAAGAGAACTGAATGCCCTCAGCGGAGCACTGTCGTGTAACATCCTGGCGGTTCTGTTGGGTGTGAAACAGCTGCAGGAATTCGTTTAGCGTTCGTCGAGCTCCGACAAAGTTGGTTGCATTGTCACAGTAGATGGTCTGTGGTACTCCTCGGCGTGCTGCGAACCTCTTCAAGGAGGCGATGAACGAATCTGCGGATAGGTTGCCTACCAACTCGAGGTGTATTGCCTTGGTTGATAGACAAACGAATACTGCCACGAACGATTTCGGCGGAGCAGCTTTCCGGGTAGGTGGCCGAAGATAGAATGGACCGCAGAAATCAACTCCGGTATTCAGGAACGGTAAGGTTGGTGTTACTCGAACCGATGGTAAGTCTGCCATGATCTGCTCGTTGAAACTTGGACGGTTGCGGAAGCAGGTGACGCATTCGTGCGTGACTTTTCGTACGACATCACGCAGCCGAAGAGGCCAAAACTTAGCACGAACGATTGCTATGAGGAGCGTAGGTCCAGCGTGCAGATGACTAAGGTGATAATACCGAACGACTAGAAGAGTGAACGGATGCTTGTTATCCAGGATCATCGGCTGCTTTTGAGCATACGGTATCGCTGCGTTGTTGAGGCGACCTCTCGTGCGAAGAACACCATTTACTAGCACTGGAGATAGTGCCTTCAGTTTTGACGTAGACTTCACTTGACCGGTGGTGCGGACGGACTGCAGATCTTCCACGAACGATTCTTGCTGGGCAAGTTTGACCAAATTGACTAGCGCGTTTTCCAATTCAGCCGTAGACAGGGGTCCGAATCTCTTGGTTTCTTGGTTATGCGTCTTCGTATTGCTGCAGAATCTTCGGATGTAGGCAACCAAGCGAACGAGACTGGAGAGGGATGATTTAAGTGTGAATATGGTGCTTTGTACGACTGTTGGCAGGGAAACCGTAGGTCTATCCTGGAGTTGCTCTTTGCTGAAGAGATCGTCGGAAGTTCGAACCAGACCGGGCCAAAATCTGTTAGGTTGTTGCAACCACTGGGGTCCTTGCCACCACAGCGTGTGTTCCACAAGCTCCATTGCTAGCATTCCACGGGATATGACATCTGCTGGATTCTCGATACCTGGGACGTGTCTCCATATTCCGGAAGCAGTGATTTGCTGGATTTCGGCCACACGGTTGCCAACAAATTTCTTCCAGCGAGACGGCGAAGCGGCCAACCAGTGGACGACAATCGTTGAATCAGTCCAGAAGAATGGACGGGCTTTGATTTGTAGACTGCTTTCCACCTTTTCGAACAAGTGACTCAGGAGAAGTGCTCCACAGAGCTCGAGACGAGGCAAGCGAATAGTAGGGTCAAGCTTCTCGGTTCCCTTCGGTGCGACTTTGGACTTCGCTGTGAGCAAGTGCACCGATACGTTTCCGCTAGACGACATTGTACGGATATATATGCAAGCGCCGTATGCGCTTTCGGAAGCGTCGCTGAACCCATGTAGCTCAACGTTGGCAAGATCTAGGCAGGGAGCCGCCCACCGTGGGACTGTGAATGAATCGAGTACTTCGAGGTCGCTCCGGAAGGAATTCCAGAATTGTTGTTGGTGGTCATTCAGTGGGTTATCCCATGAAACTTTCGTCCTCCACAACTCCTGCATGAAGAGTTTGGATCTTAACACGATTGGCCCCACTAGGCCAAGAGGGTCGAACAAGCGGGCTGCCTCAGAAAGTACCAATCGTTTGGTTATTGGAGTGTCGTGGGACCAGGCAGGTATTTTGAAGCGGAAGACGTCTTCGACTGGCTGCCACAATAGCCCCAAGGTTTTCACAGGCGTTGATGACGAATCGAGTTCCAATAGGTTCCGGTCTTCGCGAAGTTCCGCTGGAATATTCTGGAGAATCGTCGGACTGTTCGATGCCCATTTGTGCAGCTTGAATCCGGCCGATTGTAGGAGGTCGATCAGTTGCCGGCATAGTTCGATCCCTTCTTCTTCAGAAGCCACCCCGCAAAGCAGGTCGTCGATGTAAAAATTCTTCGATAGCACCTTAGCTGCTATGGGGTGGGTCGATTCACCGTCAGAGGCGAGTTGCTGGAGACAACGCGTCGCAAGGTACGGGGCCGAGGCTGTACCGTAAGTAATCGTCAGCAACTCGTAAGTTTCTAAGGGTTCCGAAGGCGAGGAACGAAACACGATGCGCTGCAGAAGACGATCGATGAAGTATACCAGCAGTTGCCGGTACGTTTTTTCCAGATCAGCAACGATGACAAAGCGAGGTATTCGAAATCGTAGGATGATACTATACAGCTCGTCTTGAACGACTGGGCCCACCATGAGAGCGTAGTGAGACGCCAGTGTCAGTGGGGCATGAAGCGTCAAAGACGACACGGAGTTTCGTCGTAACGCTATCCGGACGAACGATGCAGTGATGGGGCATGTAGTATGTTTTTTCGCCTGGCTTTAACACTTCGTTGCTTGGGTCGATCGGCGCCATATGTCCCAACTGGATGTACTCCTGAATGAACGCTTCGTAGGCTTCCATTAGCGCAGGATTCAACTGAAGTCGCCGTTCGAGCGACAGAAAACGACGAATAGCGATGTGTCGAGACTCTCCTAACTGTTCAAGAACGTCTGGTTTCTTTGGCAACGAAACCACAAATCGTCCGGTGGGATCTCGGGTCGTGGTAGCTGTAAAGAGAGTTTCGCATTTCCGTTCTTCCACGGAAAGTGTCTCGTTGGAGTGACATGACTCAATCTCCCAGAAACGAGCTAGTTGGGTTTCCAAATCAGCATTGCTGCAGACAAGAGTAGTGGCAGATCTGCTTGAATCCACCGTGTTGCATTTTCCGGAAACTATCCACCCAAAAACCGTTTCCTTCAAGTGGGGCAGCTCCGGGCCGAGATTGACGAAACCTTCCAGCAGTAGACGATAGTAGACTTCAGCCCCGATGATAGCATCGATGCGGTTGGGCTCGAAGAAACGAGGATCGGCGAGCTGAACAAATGATGGAATGTTCCAGTTGGCTACCGTCGTCTGATTTGATGGCAGTATCGGTTTGAACTCCGGGAGGATGTGGAACTTAAGATCGATAGCGTAATCCGTACAGCGTGAACGGATGAGTGCCATCGCCGATTGCTTCGATGTTGCAGCACTAGGTCCCACACCTTGGAGGGAAAGAGGGTCATTCTGCCGACGTAGATCCAATCTCTGCGCCAAACGCTCACTGAGGAGGTTACGTTCGGAGCAGCAATCCAGGAGGGCTCTAGCGAATTGAACGTTTCCATTGTAGTCAGCTATCTTGACGACAGCAGTTGAAAGGAGAACAACGCTACTATCAGCATTCACGTTAGCAGGAAGAGCTAGTGGCTTGGAATTGGAGGATCCAGCTACGGGTGCGGTGGCGAAAGTTTGCGAGTGCGAGGCAGAGGAATCGTTTAAATTTGCGACTAAGGGCTGACTTTGAGGAATCGTGGGTTTAGTGGGTTGCGATTGCGAGTTGTGTTGTCCTTGACTGGAACCGGTGTCTGCTGGGCGCAAATGCAGCATCGTATGGTGCTTTTGACCACAAACACGACAAGCTGAGCTAGGACAAGCCCGTACCAAATGGGAAGAGGAAAGGCAATTTAAGCATAGACCAGCTTTCCTGACTGATTCAAGCCTTTGGGAAGGATTCATGTTATTAAAGGAATCACATTTGAAAGGAGAATGGAAAGGTTTTTGACAGTGTGGACAAGCTTTCTTTTGCGTCGTGGTTATTGTGAGTGTAGAGCCGAATTTGGACTTAATTGCCGTTCTTCCGTGGTCTTGACGAGACTCCGATCCTCGAGGCTTCGAGGACATCAGAGGTTGCAAGGTTGCAAGGTGATCACGCAGAAACTTCAACATATCATCGTACTTCGGAGCTTCACGGGAGTTGTGAGCTCGCTCCCAATGCCTTTGAGTATCAGCATCGAGACGTGTGTAAAGTATATGAGCCAGCAAATGAGACCATCCGTCTGTTTCCAGTCCAATTTTCCGCAGCTGCAATAGGTTGCGTTCATACGAGTCGATGAGACCAACTAGTGCATCGTAAGATTCCCGTTTGATCATCTCAGCGTTCAGAAAACTGTCCATCAACGTGCGAGCAATGATCTTTTTGTTCTCGAACCGTTGTTCGAGCATTTGCCACGCCACCTCAAAGTTGTTAGCCGTAACTTCGATTGACTCTACCAACGTCCTGGCTTCTTTGGTGAGCACCGAGAGAAGATAATTGAACTTATCAATCGGCGAGAGTGAAACATCTTTGCCAATCATGCTCTGGAAAGCATCACGGAAACTCAACCAATCTTTCACACTACCGTCAAAGGAAGGAATTTTGAATACTGGAAGGTGAACTCGGGATGTAGGGGTTTGGCAGGGCTGAGAGGAAGAAGAGGCTGCAGCTGTCGGAATGACTCGATGCGAAGAGAGGAAATCTTTCACATCGAAGTATTGATTTTCAAAGTCCAACCGAGTTTTCCTGTTGGCCGATTCCACGTCCTTCTTAAGGTGAACGTCCTTGCCTTCAGCACTAGCAGTAAGTGCTAAATCTTGCTCCTGTCTCGCTTCAAGTTTCGCTCGATTATCCCGAAACTCTTTGAACAACGTTTCCACATGCTCCAAACGTGAAGCAATTTTCGCTTGATCCCGCTGTGCATTGAAATTGGCAACAAAAGACTCCATATTGGCCATGGAATCAATGTACCCTCGCTCGATCTTGCTTAGTTCGCGCAATGACGCCATGCTGTTGTCTATTTCAGGTATCGTTCCAAATCGCAAACCCAATCAAATTCCAAAAAACCGTAGCGTAGTCAATTGCCCAAAAAATCGTGTAATTCGCAAACAAATTCCTTACGTACTATAGTGAAACTCGCATGCAAACTTTATTTCTCGTCCGAAATGTTCGTACCTTAATTCTTTGTGTACTCACGCTACCATCTATTGTTCGCTAACCCAAGCCACGCCAGATTTGCCACGAACAGGAGGAAGGTGTGAAAATGCGCCTTGGAAACGCCGAAATGCTCCGTGTTCGTTGGATGAGATGTGTCCTGGTCGCTGGTCACAGTCAGGTTCGTAACAACTGATCCGGTTGCCCTACCGGATCCGCAATAGCCAATTTATCCACCGACGCTGCTGGATTGATGCAACACAAAGGTGATACCAATGCCGCTTGTGGTATAATCACCACACAATAGGTCACTTTCTTCACCGATTTTCGGCCACTAAAAACGCACAAATCCGGATCCTCGAAGGACCATTAAATGTAGGGGAGCTGGTTCTCCGGACTAGTGGTGGACTCGCGGCGGATAGTGTCCTTCGGGTGTGGTTTTCACCGTAACCAAAAAATGCAAATTGTGGATGATACGTGGTACACTGAACTACTGTACTCGGAACTTTATTTTCTGCGATAGAATTTTAGATGTACACTCGTCGGTAGCTTTATTGTACTGATTTTTATTCGATAATCTGATACGGGCTATCAGTGAAGAGAGGTTGTGTGTGCCCTATATGGTGTGTGAGAAATCCTACCTACGGGCTTTCTTCTCTGCTTTGTGGCATGCAAAATAAATTGAGTATGAGTGCCCTACTTCAACTGGCACAAATTCATTTAGGGTAAATTTTATAATTATTAGAAGTGCCTTAACAGAAAGCAATCTACGAAAAAAACTGGAACCAGAGATCGTGAGTGCGCAGCAAGGTGTTGAGGTGCGTTAAAGCCAACCCCAGTCTTTCAATCCGAGATGTGGCCAGAAGGTACAACGCCAACTTTCAAACGGTGCGGAACATCCTTGCCAGGGAAGGATATAAGCCGTACAAAGCCAGTTAACATCCGAACCGGCACATGAAGCAGAACTCCGTGGTCAAAAAGCGTGCAAGGCTCTTGTACGACCGTGTTTTGACGAAACACAAGGGCTGCCTTTGGTCGATGACGAAACATACGTCAAACTCGATTTAAAGCAGCTTCCCGGTCAAAAGTTTTGCATCGTGACTGGACGTGAGGTGTACCGGGAAGGTTCAAGTTCGTGTTTGTCGACAAGCTCGCGAAGAAGGCCATGATTTGGCAAGCGATTTGCAGTTGTGGCCTGAAAACGGAACCATTCGTCACATCCTCGACGATGACATCCCAAGTTTACATCGGATAATGCCTGAAAAAGCGTGTATTGCCGTGCATACGCAAGCAAAGGGGCAAAGTCATCTTTTGGCCCGATTTGGCCAGCTGCCACTACTCCAAGGAGGTTCTGGAGTGGTACGCTTCCAACAAGATTGTTTTTATCCCCAAGCTAATGAATTCTCTAAATTGCCCGGAATTTCGACCAATCGAAAAATACTGGGCAATTTCAAAGCAGCAACTTCGACGAAGCGGCGAGGCAGTCAAGGAAATCCAGCAAATGCGGACAAAATGGAAGAAATGCACTGATTCCGTGTCCGTTTCCACTGTGCCGGCGCTGATGGGCTCCATCAACAGGAAGGTTCGAGATTTCGTTCGAACTGGAGAAATGTAACCATCTTATGCTGCAACTTTGATGTTTTAATAAAAGAACTGTAGAGCAACCATGAATCTACTTTTTCAACTTATTGAATGACGAATTACATGTCTTTTTGTGCGTACCAATTTACTTACGGAACTGTTTTCATAGCGAATGCTACCAGCATTAGTAAGTACATTATTAGTTTCTGGACATTGAAAATTCTCCTAATTCTAGGTTAACGGGATATTCTGCGACGCATTTGTTGATGCTAAATGTTTGTTGTTGTTCCTAATTTATAGAACTCATTTCAAATCAAATCTCAATAAATCGTAGGAATTTGTAACGGTATCGTTTTTTGGGTATCACAATTTCGTATTCCGTAGTTATATATTTTTCCGACAATATGACCTCAATAAAAAAATAACAGGCTAGAGGAGCTAGTCGGGTGAGGTTATGTTTGATAGAGCTACCATAGAGGTAGCTCTAAGACTAGAAGGTCCCGAAGAAATGTGCTCAACTTTTTGGCTCAGTTCTGGTACTCTCTTTGGTCCCAAGCTAATTGATGCATCCCTCGAAACATAGGAAAATCCACGAACCCCTCATTTTATCTGTCAATAGCGTGTTCATAGCTAAGAGTAGAGTAGAACAATGATGCAAAATATCATGACACTCACGTGACACTCGTCTTCGCATCAACCGACTATCGCTTACAGATCGTTTTGTCACGCAGTGAGAGTTAGAGCCATGGCAAACAACAATCACCAGTAATGGTCGCTGCTCACAAGCAAATCGTTACACTCGCTGCTGATAATTAAAAGCACAACAAAAATAGTGAAGACTTCTGCAGTACGATCATCAGAAAAACCGAAACGACAGAAGAAAATGAAAACAATGCCTACGCATTCCAAGTTCGTCTCGGCAGGCGCGTGTTTGTGAGTTACGGAATAAACGGATAAACGGAAGCTGTTGGGCTCACTCACCAACACACTCACATAAGCAAGCAAAGCAGCAACTGCTTCAAAACGAGCACAGATGAGTGTCGTGATAGTCAGGAATGACCGATCGGTGATGGATCACAACAGAAGACGAGATTCACCAGTTGCTTGTTACTTCTTTCGTCAACTTGATGGATGGTCATGGAGAGAGCTTCGACGAGCACATTGATAGGAATGTACAAAGCGTTACTACCATCAGCTGATTGATGATGGTGATTGTGAAAGGTCGCAACTCTGGAGTAGACTATACGGGGGAGAAAACAAACCACTTTTCTGTCAAACGCGAACCAGCTCGTGATTGGCCGATTTGAAGTGCGTAAAGTAGAGATAGAGATAGAGATAGAGATAGATATAGAGATTGAAGACTAAGTAGCCAGTTGTCTCCACTTAGGTTCATAACAAAAATGAATACGAAACCAACGATTTTAAATTGGCTCACTACTTGACTAGCCTATTGGTCTCAAGCAAATCGATTAACGTACCCCATTCTAGTCTAAATTCTAGTACTACACAATGGTTGTTTCGATTCGCTATGAAAGTTTGACAGATAAAATGAGGGGTTAGTGGATTTTCCTATGTATCGAGGGGTGTATCGATTAGCTTGGGCCCGTAGATAGTACCAGAGCTGAGCCAAAAAGTTGAGCACGTTTCTTCGGGACCTACTAGTCATAGAGTTAGCTCTACCTCTCTGGACTGGTCTCGATCACTTGAGCAGGGGCTAACACAGTAGTTCTTTCTTCAAGAAGAGAGGGATCCAAGTGTTCAGTAGTGATTGTAGCAGTTGTCGGCCAGGATGTCTTATCCTGCCGAAGCCAGGATGGTCCGTGTCACCACATTTGATAGTCCTTCAGTATATCAGGCGTCATTCCCCGTGATAGAACATCAGCGGGATTCTCTAACCCAGCAATGTGGTTCCAGATTCCTCCACGAGAAATGTGTTGTGTGATGTCAGTCCAAAAGGATGGTTGAGCAGTTATCTTGATACTTTGGACGACCTTCTCGAACAGATGAACGCCGGTGAGTGCGGATGACAACTCCAATCTCGGTATGGAGGTTTGTTTCCGCTTCTTTTCCAGATGTTCAAGTGAAGCACCCTGGATTTTGCTGTAAGCAGCAAGGCAGTGACTGTTCCATCGAATGAGGTGCATCGGAGATAGATGCAGGCACCGTATGCCTTCTTGGAGGCATCACAGAACATGTGATCGCTTCCAAAGGCGACCCAACGAGGGACTTGCAGCAGTCGTAATCCTTCCAAACCTGCTCGAAATTCTCGCCACCAGTTTTGAAGTTCTTCGGGAAGAGTATCGTTCCAGGAACACTTTGTTCTCCAAAGATCCTGAAGAAATACCTTGGCTTGGACTAATGTGGGTCCTACCAGGCCCAAGGGATCGAAAAGCTTTGCGAAGTCGGACAATACGATCCTCTTTTTGAGCTCAGTAGCAGGATTTCACTGAGGTACAGTGAATCTGAACACGTTCGATCGAGGTTCCCACTTCAGTCCGAGGGTCTTGACGATGGAATTCGAAGGTTCGAGGTCCAAAAATGAGCGTTCACCCCGCAGATATGGTGGGATACTGTCCATGATCTCTCGGGAATTTGAACTCCACTTTCTTAAGGTCAGTCCAGCCGTGCCCAGCACGTGGATGGGGTCTTTGAATAGCTGCACTCCTTCTTCGATGCTGTCGACGCTCTTCAGCATGTCGTCTACGTGAAAATCGTAGATTATGGTGTCCGCTGCAACAGGAAAATTTCTTCTCTCTTCCTCCGCTAGCTTCTTGAGGCAACGCGTTGCCAGATATGGTACTGAAGAGGTACCGTACGTTATGGTGGTCAGAACAAAGATGCGAATGGGTTTTCCTGAATCAGCCCTCCACACAATGCAGTGAAGGGGATGGTCCAAGCGATGTGTCTTCATAATCCGGTACATCTTCTCAACGTCGGCTGTTATTGTATATTTCCGCAGGCGGAAGCGAAGCGTTATTGAGTTTAGGTCCTCCTGAACAACAGGACCTACCATAAGGACGTCGTTTAGCGAGACTCCCGTGGTGGTAGGATGCGTCAAACACGACACACAACTTGGTTGTCCTGCATGATGCGGTAGGAAATAATCAACTGGAAATGTACTTAATTCCCGTGCTGAAATCTCACGCATGTGCTGCATCCGTAGATATTCTTCAATGAATTCGGTTTACATCTTCTTCACTGCTTGATCTGCATCAAGTCTTCGCTCCAATGTCATGAAGCGACGAATGGCTATAGACTGCGACTCTCCTAGACG